GAATTATAAAGTAACTATATATATCGCAAGCTGAGTACTTTAAAGTATAAAACTTCTATATATAAATTTTTAATAAGAGAGACGCGGGAGAGCTATTAGACTAACTTAGTCGATCTAATTAAAGAGCGTAGCGAACTCGAATTAATAATTAACTATATATACAAATTCAAGATTTTCTAGTTTAGCTCTATCTTATTCTTTTATATATACTAATTATAGAAAATTAGAAATATAGATATTAGCGATATTAGTAATTAAAATAAATTAATAAATCTAAATCTATTATTTAGATAAATTCTTTATTTATTCTTTTATTTTCGATTTATCTAATTTAATACTAATTTAATAAAGTTACTTAATATAGTCTCTCTTTATAAAGATCTTTATATAATTAATATATATAAAAGAATAAGATAGATGTTACGGTACGCCAAGGCCTCCTCCAGAGCCACCACTCATTTGGGCCTAGCGTGGTTTGGCACCGCACATATCTGCCCTGCAGGCACATAGAATAATCAACATCTTTTACACCACACCATACATTTATAACTCAGTCATCCATTTCCTTGATAATTGATAGCAATATCAAATGGATAGTAACTCTGAAGGAGGCCTTGGCGTACCGTAACAATAGAGCTAAGCTTAAAAATCTTAAATTTATATATATAGCTAATTATTAATTTAAGTTCGCTACGCTCTTTAATTAGATTAACTAACTTATCGCGAGTAAATAAATTAGTATTCGTAATTATTAAAATCTCGCCCTCTTATATCTCTCTTATTAAAAAAATAGATATATAGAATTAATATATAGAATTACTTTTTTATTTTCTATTAAAATTTTAAGATTTTTTTTTTAAATTTTAAAGCGCTATTTATACTTTTCGAATTTTTAAGAACTTTAAAATTTAATCTTATAATTACTAAAGCGTAAGGAATTCAAATATTATTTATCAAAGTTCGCTCGATAATCGAATAGCCCTAATTAGATATATATTATTTAATTTTAAAATAACTTTTTTATTTTCTATTAAAATTTTAAGATTTATTTTTTTAAATTATAGAACGAAATATAAGCTTTTAGATAAAAAAAGAATTATTAGATTTAGTTCTATAATTATTAAAGTGCAAGAAATTTAAATATCGCTTATCAAAGTTCGCTTATTAAAGATCGCTTATCTACTTACTCGATAGTTCTAATTAAAAAAAAATTATGAATTTAATTTATAGGCCTTTACTCGTATTTTATATATACTTAAGCGAGAGTAATCTATAGATTCGAGTTTCTATAGATTTTTAAATAGAGTATTTTCGTTAAGACGGCTTTCTTAGCTAAATAGTCGAATAAAATAAATAACTTTCAAATTAACTATTCTTCTTAATTTTATCTATATTAGTTTTATAAACTTAGAAACTCTTAAATAAATAAATTTAATTAAAATTCTTATTATTTTTACTTCGTATTATAAAGACTATTAATATTTCTATTAAGTCTTTATTATTAAGATTTAAATAACTTTCTTAATTTTATAGCTCGTTACTTAAGAATATCTTTTATTATAAGATTTAAATTAATCTTATATTAGATAAAAAATCTATTTAAGAATAAAGACTATTATTAGAATAAGACTATTTTTATTAAAAAAGTATATAAAGATATTAATACTTCTTTCTATTATATAAATCTTTTAAATATTTAAATCGCTAAAATAGTAAATACGCGATATATTATTAGAAATTATCGATATAAATACTAGTCTTAAATCTTCGAAAGTAAGAATCTATATTAAAACTATATTATAAAAGATTAAATAATAAAAATAAATATAAAGAATAGTAGAAGAACTAAGTAATATTATAAGATTAAGTTTAAAATTTAATAGTTATATAAAGATAAAGAAGAAGAATACGAATATTCTTAAGATATTAATAAATATATTGAAGTCGCGAAGTATAATCTTTATAATCTTTATTAAGAATATCTTTATTATATTTAGAATTTTAACTATAATTTTAATAAAGCTAAATAACACGCTATAAAAAAGTTAAATTCTTTAAAAAAAATTAAAAAAACTTTATTAGAGACTAAGAAATAAATATTTATATTATTAAATACTAATATAAAAGAACTTAAGAGTAATAAAGTCTTAATATATAAGATAAAATCTAGAATAGAGAATACTTTAAACGAAACTAAATTATTAAATAAAGTTTTTAAAAACTCGAAGAAAAGAAAGATTAAGAAATCGAAGGTTAAGAATATAAGTAATAAGATAATAATAAAAAAAAAGTAACTTTAAAGTCTTTCGTATTTAAAATTTAAAATTTAAATTTAAAAGTTAATAATAAAGATATTTATAATAATTATATATATATAAAAAAGAAAATTAACTTACTAAAAGATACTTTTATAGAAATATAAGAAAAGCTAATAATACTATTAACGATAACGAAAAGAATTTATAAAATAATTACTTTACTCTTAATTTAATATAAAAGCGTAATAAAACTTATAAGAAAAGCTACGAAATTTACGCCTTTTTCAAATTAAAATAATAAATAAATTAAAGATAAATAAAGCGATATTAAGAGTATTAAAGATTATTAAAATATTAATAAACTATTAATAGATAAAATTCTTAAACTTTAAATAATATATAAGAAATCTATATTAAGAAATATTTAGATTTAATAGCTTTATTATTTATTTATATTTAGAATAAAAAGTCTAATAAGAAATTCGAAAAATAAAAGAAAGAAAATTATTAATTATTAATCGATACTTTTTAATCGTTAACTTCTTACTTCTCTATTATTATCTTTACTTTAATAAATATCTTTATAATTTTTATTTCTAATACTATTTTAGATTCTATTTATTCTTTAAAAGTTACTATTTCTTTTATTTCTAATATTATTTTAAACTCTAATTAGATGCGAGTTACTTTAGATTCTATTTAAATATAAGATTAAGAATTTAAAAAAAGCGCTTAATCTATATTACTATCGTCAAGTTTAACCTTTTATATCTTACGAGTTTAGACCTATAAATTAAATTCATAACATTATTTTTTAATCAGGGCTGTCGAGTAAATTTGGTAAGCGATCTTTGATAAGCGATCTTTAGTAAGCGAACTTTGGTGAGCGATAATTGAATTCCTTGCCTTCAAATTATTATAAGACCAAATTCTATAATTTTTTCAGTATCGAAAAGCGCAATCTCCGCTCTATAATTTAAAAAAAAAAAAAGATTTTAATAGAGAATAAAGAAGTTATTTAGTTTGTAAATAACGTATATCTATTTTTTTAATAAGGGAGCTCGAAAGGGCTAGCGGGCTAACTTAGATAGTCTAGTTAAAAGGCGTAATAACTTCGAATTTATAATTGACTATATATATAAATTTAAGATTTTTTAGCTTAGCTCTATCTTATTCTTTTATATATACTAATATACTTTTATAACGACGTTTCTTTTCTCTTACTTCGACCTTTATAAAGATACTTTCTTTTCTCTTCTATTCGATACTTACTACTTTAAATTCGTTCGAAAAGAGATATCTTTCTTTATACCTTTCTTTCTAAGATATCTTAAGAAAAAACTCGAGAACGCTATAGCGTTTTATAAGAGAGGGTAAGTTATTATATTTCTAATAGTTTCTAATCTAGCGTAACTTAGCGTATCGCTAATTACTTTAATTTCGTTTTTTTATAGCTTTCGAGAATTAATTAACTATTATTATATTAAGAAATATCTTTTATTAATACGTAAAACTACTTTTTTAAAGAATATACTTACTTCTCATATTCGTAATTATAATAAAATAGTATTATTTCTTTTATTTCTTAATTAATTAAGTCGTCGTAAAGACTATAAGTACTCTAAATAATATTCTTTCAAATAATAGAAAGTTCGTCGAGAGTATATTAGCCGACGATAGACTTTTTACGAGAAATAAAGCGGAGAAGAATTTCTTATATTCGATATAGAGGACTCGTTTTTTAATAGATTAAGCTATCGTTAATAATATAAATTATTTAATATAAATTCTTTCGAATAATATAGATATCTAATAATTTAAATATATGATAAGACTTTTATATAATAGAAATATTTATTAGAATCGATATAGATATAGTATTAATATAGATATATTAAATAAGATAACTAGATATCGAATAACTATATAGATAGAAGATATTAAATAGTAGTAAATATCTCTACTAAGATACGCTAGGCCCTAATAGGCTATAGAACTAAATGATATATTAAGAAAGATATAGAATACGCTCGTAATAATATCTAGCGTTTTCTTTATTAAACTCGATCGCTTACTTTAAGTAGAAAGTAAAAAACTCATTAATTCTCTTCGTCGGAGGGGTGTATGAAGGAGCTTTATTATAATATTAGAATTAGTATAGAGATATATTATATAAGTAAGATAGATAGGATAATAAGGCTATCGAACTATATAGGTGGAAAGGAGGCATAATATAGTAGAGGATGCCTCCGCCAAGGCACTAGGCCATAGGGCCGAGTGGTGTGTCAAGGGTACGCTCGTAACAAAGCAAACAAAGCGCCAATGGATGATTCAAACCGAATCTATGAGTTCTTCATTAAAATCAAGGGAAGAAAGCATGAACCTGCATTGGAAGAGGGGAGAAAGTGAGTCAAGGAAAAAAAAAGGAAAAGGAAAAGGGGAGGGGAACAAAAACGCGGGCTCAGCCGGGATTTGAACTATGTTAAATTAGAAACAATGTCAATGAGTACAGATCGAATGTTAAATAATTACCCCGGGACCTGCCACATATCAAACATCTATGACATTTTGGATACATCCCGAAGCGGCAATCATACGACCTGGAATCCGATTTCATGTCAATCGAAAAGGTTTCTAGGAGAGATTCTGTCGCAAAGCTGCGGGGAACCAACGGACTAAATGAAGGGGTGGGTTACTCACTAGACCACTGAGCCGTGAAAAAAATTTATCCTATTGTCAGATATGAAAGCACAATTATTGGTTGTCTTCCCCAGGTTGAAGATTGAGCTACCGCTGGCTGCTACAACACACAATAATTATTCGAAGGAGCGCATTCAGCAGGGGAACCTGGTAGCGAAGTTGTAGGTTACATTTATCTCTCCAACTTTGTCGTAGAAAATCTTCTCTCAACTCTCACCCCTGGCAAGATATCAGTCTGTGTTGCTTTCGAATGCTTGATGGGTATACCCTCCCCACACATATCTCGTTCTACGGCTTATAATTTTACAGCTCCAGACTTTTTGATCGAGATCTTGGTACCGAAGATGGAACACTTTTTTTTTAACAATCTTGTACCAAGGATTATCTTGTCAAGCTCACCATTGCTGATAAGTCGGGGCTGCAACATGCTACCTAATTTCGATTGGAGCAGTCTTGGCACTCTGACCAGGCTACTTGAAGTAAGACGAGCGGGCTGTTACCGCCAGCCAGTATCTGACTTTGCAGAAACATCATTCAGGGAATCGCCTGCAAACCATACATGGATAGCTAACTGCCCCGCATTCAGATTGACGAACCCCCTCGCGATCATTGCTTCTCCGACTTCATTCAAAGAGCACATGACCAGTCGCGTCGCTCTACCGGCGCGCGAGAATGGTCAGAAGAAGGCAACAGAGGATGACGACGAGCAGCGCCTTGTAGGGTTGAACGGTTCATTGACCGTTCTTGCAACCATCTTTCCACGAATCCACCCCGAGGTTTTCCGCGAGATGCTACAGACTTTCGATGGAGAGAGCGGTTTGCATGTTGTAGCTGAACAGCTCCTGAAGCATCAAGATGAATGGGTGAAAGGTCGATGGCGGAAAGCTGTTAAGGAAACGGCAAAATCAAAGGGCGATCAGCTGCCAGTGACCGCCGAGGAACGTTTCAGACGAGCGAGCTACAAGTGGGCCGTACGGACTACATTATATGAAGAGTTCAAGGCTCTTAGTAGGTGTAAAATCGAAGGAGTGTTGGCGGAAGAGAACTTCTGCTACACTCGTGCCAGACTTACCCTTCAAGATGTCGCATCCAAAAGCTGGCGAAACAGCTTCAACGTATTTTTGTCTAAGTGGCTGAAGTCATCCAAGTCTACAAACGAAGGTCACCACATGATGATTTGGCTAAAGGACCAAGAGGGTGGTGGATCGAGGTCCGTACCGGTCCTGAAAGAGACAGGAGACGCGGAGCTAGACGCGGAGCTTAATCAAAGCGTTCTACTCCCATTCTTGCAAAAGGCAAAGAGGGAGCGGGAAGACAAAGACTGGGAGATTGCAATGACTCTGAATGAGGCAGAGGCCATGGATGCCGACGCTATGTATGAGTGTCAATGTTGCTTCTCGGACACAACTTTTGAGCAATTGGCGACTTGTACTACGGGTGCGCATGTCATCTGTTTCCGGTGCATCAAGAACGCTATCAGTGAAGCGCTCTTTGGCCAAAGCTGGGGACGCAACATTGATAATACGCGTGGTCAGCTTAACTGTCTAGCCCTAATGTCAGACGAGAGCTGCGATGGTTGCATCTCGCACAGCGCTACTCGTCGAGCAATCCTACAGTCAAAAGGTGGTAAGGAGGCTTTGAGTATGCTCGAAACACGCCTGGCTAAAGAAAGCCTCTCGAAAGCTCGTCTCGCTCTTGTCCACTGTCCTTTCTGCGCTTACGCGGAGGTCGATGAACTCTATTTCCCTCCATCCACTGTTCGATACAGGCTCAACACCGTCCATCTCGAAGCAACTGTATTCCTCATTCTTCTGATGCTCGTCTTCCTTCCTTTACTACCCCTTTACACACTTGTATCTCGTCTTTTGCTGTTTCGGGAGCTGCCGACTATCACAAGCATGTTCTCAACATCGCTGGGTCGCCTTTCTCGGTCTCGTCACCTCTCTGCGCGCTTTCAATGTCGATCTCCTCTCTGCGCGCTTCCCTCCTGTCTGACCTGCTTCAAGACATGGCACGATCCGCATGTCTGTCACGAGTCGGCGGCGCTCTCGCTCCGCACAACGATCGAGGCGGCTCGTACTGCGGCTCTGAAAAGGACATGCCCACACTGCGGGCTTGGCTTCATTAAAGACAGCGGCTGCAATAAGTTGACGTGCGTTTGTGGCTATGCAATGTGCTACATATGCCGCCAAGGATTGGGACATGGGCACCGCGATGAGGGGTACAGACATTTCTGCCAGCATTTCAGACCCGCAGGAGGTGTTTGCAGAGAATGTGATAAGTGCGATCTCTACATAAACGAGGACGACGACAAATTGGTAAAAAGGGCAGGTGCGTTTGCCGAGAAAGAGTGGAGGGAAAAGGAGGGCATGACGGGAGTCGTAGGTATCGGAGGTGGTCAGGAGGATGCACGGAGAGCGATATGGCTAGACACAGATTGGACAATGCAAAAGCTCATAGACTGGTGGGTCAAAAAGGTGATTGACTGCTGAGGGATGCAGTAGAGGTCCATGATGAGTCGGACGGCCGGCGACCCATCCTTTGCAGGTGCAAGGGGATCTGGTCGAAACGATATCACTTGGGACAGAAAGATACTATGTGTATGACTTTGTGCTTTGGTGAACACCGCCAGAGCAATAGGCGATCAGAGATTCCTCTCATTGCTAAGGCTATCAGAGCAACGAAAAGCGTATTGGGGCATATTGCACATATGCCGAAAAGAAAATTCAGCCGATTCTGAGCCTCGAAACCAAGAGAACATCCATCGAATGTCAAAGCAATTGAATGCAGTGGGTGCACAACTCGCGTGCTACCGCTGCAATTCACAAAGCTGCACCCCTCACAACTTCCTCCCCACCTCGCTTCAATCTGTCTAGATCTTTATCCACAACCGTAGTCTTGCCTCTTACGCACGCTTCTCGCTTCGCAACTTCTTCCTCAAAGTCCTTCGCCGCTCGTCGTCTCTGCTGCCTGGCGTCTGTGAACTTTGACATGACATCACTGAATCTTTGAATTATAAGATTCGCACATTCCTCGTACTGCTCAATCGACAGGGACGAGAAAAATGCTCTCCGATGGACGAGTTTGGTGTCATCATCTTTCAATTTTTCCAAGATGTAATCCACCTTCGCGGCTAGAGTACCATTTGAGAGTTCTTGCGGAATGGACACTCGAGCTGTATCGGAAGCGAGATTGAAAGGTTCATCGGTCAGCTGGTTGAAGGTCATGCTCGATATTTGGTCCGGGCTATAATCAAGGTCTCTGGCGCGTTTCCGTGTCTGTGGGCCATCAATCGATGCCGTAGGTTCCATGTCTTGTCCCCTGTTGACGTTCGGGTCCCAGTCGACAGCAGAGTCGTCGTCGCTAAGGCCGCTAGATCCGGTTTGCACTGACAAGGGCCATTCTTCAGTGGCCTGTGGCTGTACACTTGTAGCCACAGTGTCTTGGCCCAATCTAAGTCGAGCCCGCGACATAGGCTGCAGAGCCTGACGGGAGGTAACTGATGGCTGTTAGCCTGGTTCATAATGATCTGACGCTCTACGGTGCTGAGCTGAGATCGAAGGCTGCTCTAAAGACGTACCTTGGACTTTCTGGACCGGCACCGCTGAAGTCTGTTTCATGGCCCTCTCACGAGCTTGGCGATTCGCACGTTGGAGGTTCACACCGGGATCTGCAGCGCCACCATCTACGCTATTCCCCCTGGACGTGAACGGGTTCGCTGGCTTTTGATGGCGCTGAACAATCTCCCTTAACGCTAATTCACTATGTACCACCGGAGTAGCCACGACTGGTTGGAAAGCTACTTCAGTCGTGTGAGATGACTCTCCCTGAAGGTACTGGTAAAACCCTGAACTATTGAGGTCTTGCAAGATTCCATCACGCACCGACTCCTCCTTTTCTGATTCTTCGTCCTCCTCATCGTCTGCGCACTCTCCGAGATTCGCTTCACCGTCCTCCCCGGAGCCCTCGGCGTCCAGTCGCCTGGACCCTTGGGCTTGATGTGGTTGCTCCTGCCTACGTCGAAAAGATACTTGAGCCCCGGAAAGATATTCATTGGGTACGTCTGTACCATACCGACTAGAAATCTGGTCGCGATCATCTCCTTCACCTTGATGGCCTCGACTGCTGCCCCCAACTTTCATGGTCGCCGTGTCGTCGAAACCTTCGGCGTCCGTATCGAAACCATCCTGGACAGCAGACGCCTCGGCAGCTTGCTGCCTGGACAGAATAGTGATGGAACCTGCCACAGGAGGATTGGCCGGCAGATTAGGGTTCGGCCTCTGGAATGGTGGCTTTTGTTTAATATTTTCTAGCTTTGTTGTTGGGACCGGAACTCGGTGCTGTGCCCCCAATAATTGGCGACTTGGATTTGGCTGACCTTGCTGGCGCTGAGCAACAAAGCTCTGTACTCCCGGCATACTGACGATGAGGAGACTGGCTACACAGCGTTGTTCGAGGGCGAAATCCGGAGTCAAGGAAAGCCGAAGAATTGCGGGCAGGCAAAACCTTCGAAGATCTTCGAAGTTTATGGAACAAGGAGAAAGCTGAAAGACAGCACAGTTGGAGTGATGTTACCTAACCGTTTGGTTCCTTCGAAGTCGAAAGTCGAGGAGGAGGAAATTGTGTGGAGTGTATTTGCCAAGAAGCCTTGAATCTGTGGGAAGATGGACTCTTGCTTACTGTTGTATGGAGTTGTGGTAGCAGAATGACGCTTGTGAATGTCTGTACTCTGCTATTTGTCAACAAAGAGAAGAGGCACCGTCATACTTGTGTTGAAATGAAGGTTAAGAGAGAAGAGAAATGAGATGTGGTTAATGAATACCAAAAGAGGATATACGGCTGATGTAATTACACTAGCGTCTGAATCTAGCAAAGAACCTACTTTAGCTGTACGAAAAGTTTTGAACGCCAAGATCTCGGATAACACCCCACCCGAAAGGCTGCCTGGACGATGCCTTGTTGCCCCTACCTATTAGGCCCAATAGAACTCCCCAAAGTTAAAGGGATCACGCTCCCAGCTAGGGTCCCACACTGAGGTACTGAGTCGCCTTCCGAAATTAGGGTTAGGGCTGCTACTAGCGCTGTTCAGGACTTTGCGTGCCGACCTCCGTACCTCAACGTTCTTTTAAAGACACCGAGCTCTTCTCCAGGACTTCGCCCTTCCATCCGCAAGCAAGCGTTGAATCTGACAACACAAGCTTAGGAAACCAACTTTATGGTCGCAGCTGCGATATTTCTTTGCCCATGGCCATGATGGCAAGTGCATCGTCGGGCAATGCTTATGAGAACTACGACCACACCGAGATCGAGCAGGATCTCATAGATCCAGACGATGGTAGTTTCGGCCTACCAGATACTGCTCCATATACTGACGTATGTACTAGCAGCGAACATTAACGATCTTGAGGATCCTCTGCAGTCGAACTCTGATCGAGCGCCATTGACGGGCAACATCCAATCATCGTCCTCCCGCAATCCTCTATCCCAATCATACCTCAACTCATCGATTCCAGGCGAGGATAGGCGCGTACCTACAAACACCATTGATGAGTCTGTATGGGAAACATTGTCCCGGGACCTGCTGGCTGTATGGGAAAAAATGAGACAGGTTCTTTGGCCTAAGTATCTGCTAGGAGGAATGCTACAGAGAGGTGGAGGCATCGGAGGCGCAGAAAGGGGTGAGGGAGACAGCCTTGCAGGAGGCTTCAGGGGTGTTGCTGGAAGGTGGCCAGATGCAGATGTGGTACTCCAAGGTGGCATGTCTGAAGGCTTAAGGGACTGGGACCTTTGGTAAACCCTGATTCTCAGGAATATTCTGGCACCTAGTTGGGCAAACCGTCCTAACCGCGCATACAGGGGCCCGTTGATCTTTTGCCTGCTTCTGAGCTTGCTGCTGTCGATGACCGCATCAAGTAAACAGAAAACAACTGTCTTCTCTGGGGTTTTCGCGCTGGTCTGGATTGGTGAGGCTGTGGTAACTACGCAAATCAAACTTTTAGGAGGAAACATGTACGTGTTCTTCGAAGTTACCGACTGCGAAGTTTCCTAACACGGCTCGCTAGCTCTTTCTTCCAATCGATATGCATCATCGGCTACACGCTCTTTCCACTGGTCATTGCGGCGATGCTGAGCGCTCTCCATCTCCCAAGTATAGCACGCGTTCCTGTGTATATCGTGCTTATCGCGTGGTCATTAGCTGCTGGTGTCAGCATTCTTGGGGGCTCGGGAGTGGTGAAGAATCGGGTGGGAATTGCGGTATACCCCCTGTTCGTGTTCTATGTTGGGCTAGGGTGCTTGTGCTTTATCAGTTGATATGGCAATAATAATATAGAGATGCTACCCACTCATGGCAAAATGCTGTTGCCGGAATGTTCAAGTAGCCAAATGACAAGATTTACAGTACCTTTAAATACGTGACTCTCATACGAAGAGGTAAGCACAACGGTGGTTGTTTTCGGATTGTACCCCGGAGACGTAATGCCACACATAGATTGTAGAATGCGTAAAGTGCTTTGCTTTAATTTTAGTAAATTGTCAAAAATTGGTGAGATTGGAAAGGATTGAGTACGAATCCAAAGCGCGTCAAAGGGCGGGGCATCCTTTGTCCACTCCGGAGTCCGAGTCAAATGTGCCGGATACAATTCGTCAATCTATCTACGAGACTTAAAGCTACGCCAGTCTCTAGACAAAGCAGCATACACCACTCCTCCTCCTTCTTCCACCCAAAGTCTCTTTCGCATACCAAATTCCTTCTAACAAATCACTTTGAACACTTTCAGCATCCCTTCATCTTTCATCGCACTGTCCGGCAGACAACCTGGTGCTCCGGTAGAGCCCCTCGACCTCATACCTTCCAGCACCAAAACCCTTATCTTGCTTTATTCCACTGAGTCTCTCGACTCCCCTGAAAAATAGTATTGCTTCAGAGACCCGCTTTGCATGCTACAAGAGCTTCACCACTTCGCCAGGCTTCGCTTGCTGCTTCTGCGAGATATCACCCGTACGATATGACTACGGCTAGCTGCATAGCCCCTCCATAGCTGCATCCTCAGACCCTCGAGAAACCGGCTACAAGCGTTCCGGAGGGATATCGGGAGATTTGCTTCTTCAAAGGATCAACGTTCAATTACTACCATCACTATGACACAGACAAACCAGCGGCAACAGACTACCCCCAACACTGTCTCCACATTGCCTCGAGATGTCTCAACGAGCCCCTCTACATCCTTAGGGCCTACTACAGATTCTATCAGCGACAATGACACCAGTGAGAAACCGGTACGAGAAAAGCTGAAGAAGACGTCCCTTGCATCCATGTCAAGTCATATTGTAGGAAGGCAGGAAAGAGTACTCACAGCAAACGAAGAGCACTCCCTACCAGATCATATGCACAGAGACTCATCGCCGGTGAAAGAAACAAGCAAGAAAGGTGTGGAACCTCGAGGGAGGCCGGTGAAAAAGCGATCGTTTGACGACCTAGATACGCCCGATGCAGAAGGAAATGAGGCAGCACGAGAGCACATAACAAAGCCCAATGCTAATGGTCATCTGAGGAAGCGGTCCAGAGATGTTCGCGTCGGCGAGCTTCCCAAGGAAAATAGCCGACCACTACTAGCAGGAACTCCTGTGCGAGAGGAGTCGGAAGACGCTGCAAATGGCGTTAAAACAAGTGAGGCTTGTATCAATGGACCCAAGAATGCAGTAGGTAGTATATCGCCAGCGACTGAGACTCTGTCGCAAGTGGAGATGGAGCAGAACAAACAACTCCAGGATATCAACGAGTCTACACGACATGTTTCTGATACAGTACAACAAGAAGGTGTAACAGAAGCGGAAAAGGAGTCCGCTGACCAAGAGATGCGAGATCCGGCATCCAGTCCACGAAAAAAGCGAAGTAGGGACCAGTTCGACACTGAGGCAGATAGAGAACAGAAGATACCTGCAACGGAAGAAGCGAGAGCTCATAGGATATCTGATGAGCCTGAAAGAGACGAAGGTTCCGTCGTGAAGCATCGAAGCCCAGCAACGCCAGAAGGTTCTGGGGTAGCTGAAAAGGAGCCTGTAATGGTGCAAGAGGGGAGGAGCCTGGGTGATGCACATGTTGGGATGGAGAGACAGAACGTAGGTCTCACTGTTAATCCGTGAAGAGCTCTTGAATGCTAACACCGGTTCAGCGACTCTTTATAGGTGCATTTGATAACGCATCTACATTCTCTCCCTCTATGGCTTCTGCCAAGAGTAACTCCTCTGCAGAAATTTCGATATTCGCAAATAAGACTACGGATCAGGGGTCTCAGACGTCTGATGACGCCTTCGCATCCTCGGGCTTTGCTGCGCTCGCAGGCTCGTCAACATCACCATTTGGCACATTAGGTGGCTCATCGACTGCCGCTACCGCTAGTCCTTTTGCTTCCGCAGGAGTCTTCATTCCAGGAAAGACCAAGACGGACAAAAAGGAAGCCCAGGAGACGGAAACAGCTGCCAACGGTGGGTTTGGTGCTTTCGTTAACAGCTCTTCTACCGATTTTGGTACAACGGACCAATTACCGTTCGGCACATCGGGGTCGAGCAAGATTGGCGTTTTTGGTGGTTCAATCTTTGGCAGTGCATTCGGTGGACCATTCAGTGGAGGGAACAGACTAACTAGCTTTGCCGCTCCCACTGGAAATGCAAAATTGGGTGCTAGCAATGGTGCTATCAAGCCCATCGGTTCCCCAAAGCATGATGGAGACGAAGATGAAAACAGTGAAAGTGATGGTGAAGTATCGGCAGAGAAAAAGAAAGACGAAGAGACAGAGGAGGCAGATGGACGGTTCCAACACCAAGATGGTAGGCACAATTCACCGTCACGAAGACGGCAAAGCTGACTGAGAATAGTTGAAACCGGAGAGGGTGGCGAAGATTCGATCTTTTCTTCGCGAGCTAGTCTTTACTCGTTTAGGGACAATGCTTGGAAGGAAAGCGGCAAGGGGACTTTCAAGCTCAATATCGCCGCAGCATCTCCAGAGGACGCTTCTTCAGACCGAAAGACAGGGCGTTTCATAATGAGGGCCCACCAAACATACAGGGTCCTACTCAACGTTCCCGTGTTCAAACAGATGCAGATTGGCGATAGCAGGGGCAACGAACCATCAGGAAAATCTTTCTTGTTTGCGGTGATCGAGAATGCCAAGCCCGTGGCTCATATGGTAAAGGTAAAGAAACGGCACGGGTCACCGAGCGGTCAAAGCTAACTTGTCGCAGTTGGGCGATGTGACGGACAGCAAAACTTTGTACCATGAGGTTCAAAGGTTGCAGAAAGGTCTGGAATGAGAGGTTTGGGAGTGGAAGTAGCATGCTATTCACAAGTGGACCCCTGAACATTGGAGGGAAGCCAATATGGAACTTTTACCGATCCAGCTAGACTAGATGTTTCCTGATGCAAGATGTCTACTGATGCATTGGAGTCCATCAGAATAGCCTTGGTATCTAGTCGAGTGCTCAAATAGCATCTCATGTAAGGTTGAAGCGTTGAGCAATACAGTCTTCTTTGTGAACGACAATATCCTTGATACTTGAACATCTTCATGCTTGTAGATGATTCTGCTGGAAAAGCACCAGATCCGAACATTCTCGATTGACTCAACAAGCTGAACTGCGCCAAATGTCTGTCTGCAGGACGATTAGAGGTAGAGGTCATTTGTGACTATAACGGCTGATGATAAGGCAGCTCAAGCTGTCTCTATCTTGATAGTCTACTATCGCCAATTGACACGCTGAATATATGTATATGAGCAAAGGTTATACGAACAAGAGTAGTGGGCCTCTTTGAGCATTGTCATACAAATTTTTGCCTTCGTAGCAGCTCCCGAGCTTGGTGTCCTCTGCTACATGTCGTGAAATAGTCAGACGATTGTGAGAAGGTGGTTTGACACGTGAAATATTATCGCAAGAGAGATGCCTAGAAGTTGGACTTGACAAGAGTCCTCGCATTCCTCCTTACCAGGATAGCCTGTCAGCACGGTATCCATGAGTGAAAGGACGCTTTAACAATAACAAAGCAAAGTAGAGCTACCTTTCACACTTTGCCCAATAAAGTGAGACCTATGTACAATGGCTCGAGAAATGCATCGAGCAGTCACTCAATTGATTCTTCCTTGATTTCAATCACTTCTTGGTTCCCATCCTCCCTTCCGTCCCCAACGTGGTCAAGGACGACCCGCTGCACACCACCAGAAATTCTTTTGATCAGAACCTCCTCTAAGATTTTACCGCGGGCTGGTCTGATCGTCTCAGCAGCGACGACGGTCTCGATACCCGCCGGTGTATTCTCATCTGGGCCCCACGGCAATGCATCGACATTGATGTCTCCTTCTTTGCCTAAGAGGCACTTCAAGATGACCTCGCTACCAGCTTTACTCATTACCATGTTCTGCTCTTTGCAAATCTCGCTACAACAACATTCTAAACATCCTTCTTGGCAATGGCAAGCCACTACCCGATCGCATGCTCGTACTAACAAAAGATCGATAAACTCAAAGGCCTTTGTCGAGATGCCAGAGCCTGCAGAACCCCCCTTGGCGTCATAGAATGTCAGTCGCGCAGGACGCTTTCGAGAGGTCTCTTTCGTTGCGAATTCTTTCAGCGCATTTTTGCTGGATTCGGAGTCAGCATGCTTTGCGAGTCACACTTCGATATCATTAAGGAACAGATCACTTTGAAAGTACATACCATTCAGTCCGTACGTCTCCTGGCATGCTGATTACGAATTGTGGCATCAAGCTGAGGATTGCATGCTCTGCTGCATGGATAGCACCAGCAACATTGAGTCGCCGGCTGTTCAACAGGTTCAGAGCAGACTTAGGCACGTCTAGCCACATACCCTGAGAGGACTTAGTATAACTTGCATCAACTTTGCAAGAGAGGAGAGGCAGCTGTACCTTGCTGAATATATCAATAGGCGGATTGTCCACTTGGACCGCGTCAAGAATGCGTCGGTTCTTGTCGATCTTGAAAAAGCCGAATACAAGGGCGCGGATCTTGATGGCGCCATAGAAAGCGCGGGAAAGAGAGTCTGGAATACGACGGATTGCCTCAGTTTCGATTGGGTCGACGTCGGTGTAGTCACGCTGTTGAGTGGTCCAGTCGACCTTCACGAGACTGACTTTGGCGTACTTTTGTTCTGGAGAGAACTCTTTCACGAGATATGTATAGCCTTGGTGCAGGAAGATACCTCCTTCATAAATTGTGAAAAAGGCTCGAGATGGCTCGACCTCCTCAAGAACGATATTACGGCCATTGGTGATGTCAATCACTGCAAAATGGCCGTCCTCTGTATCGCGTATGGCAACGCACTTCGAGGGTTGAGGTCGAAAGCGTTCGTTGCAGTGATAGAAACCTAAAGGATCTTTTACCATTCGTTCCTCTGCTATTTCTGGTAATTGCTTGCCAAAGTACAGTTTGTCTTCGTCCCGGCGGATTGGCATTTCGAAAGCTGCGCATTGTATATGACCTTCCAGCACAAGCATGTTTTGCAGGTCTACCTGCAACTCGCAATTAGGTTTCGTAAAAATCTCATCAGGATTTTCCATATAATATTGGTCGGTGGGAAAGCAGTCGCCAACCAGAACGGACAGGGAATCCTTATTCCTTCGTCCAGCTCGACCACTCTGTTGTCGTAGATTGGCGATAGTGTATGGGAAACCAACCGTGATCACAGCATCCAGTGATCCAATATCAACCCCGAGTTCCAAAGCATTGGTCGCCACAATGCCCATTAATTTCCCGTCAAACATTTCTTTCTCGATCTTCCGTCTGTCTTGCGGTGCATAACCTCCGCGATACCCCATGATTCGAGCGGCGACGTCGGGCCTTTCCAGATTTGTGGCTTCGTTTCGTACTGCAGTGATGAGAACCTCACACTGTTTTCTAACTCGGCAGAAGGCAATCACTCTGATCCCACGTAAGATGAGCTGGCAAAAAAGCCTTGCCGTTTCAGCCATAGCATCTCCTCTACCCGAAGAGGGATCTTTGGGATCCTTGAACGGAGTGTTCCAACACAGGAACTCCTTCCTACCAGACGGTGACCCGTCGAAATCTGTGAGTTTGATGTTCCCCACGCCAAATATTGTTCTCATGTGCTCTTCTGGATTTGCAACAGTAGCAGAGCACGACACGAATTTCACGTGACGGTTTCCCACGGCCGCACAAATTCTTCGCAACCTTCGCATAATGAAAGCTACGTGCGAGCCGAAAAGTCCGTTGTAGACGTGAAGCTCGTCGACCACTACAAATCGGAGGTTTTGTAAGAAAGTTCGCCACTTATCTTCCTGGGGAAGGACGGTGATGTGCAGCATATCTGGGTTCGTAAAGATAATTCGGCCTTCATCGCGAATGAGGTGTCGATCAGCCATAGGGGTATCCCCATCGAAAGTATCAACAACTAAGTTCTCCAGCCCCGGCATGAAACGAAGTAGTTCCTTCATGCTCCTCCTCTGGTCTTGGGCAAGTGCTTTGGTAGGGAATATGTACATGCCTCGAGCGTTAGGATCCTGTTCTAGCTCGTGTAACATGGGAATCTGATAGATTAGAGATTTCCCAGAGCTTGTTGACGTGGATACTATGACATTGAAACCTTCATACAGGTTGTTTATCGCCTCCGCTTGATGAGAATAGAGCTGGGTGATGCCCCGAGTGTTGTACAATGCATTGACCAAATTCTGCGACAATTGGAAGTTCAGGTCACCGAAAATGGGCTGCTGAGGGTCAAAGACGCGATGGCCTTCCGGCACAATCTGCCCCGTATACCATTCCATTGCTTTTATATCTGCAATGATCTTCGCAACGGTGTCACGCTCCGTGGGAATCCTTAGTGGAGGCTTCGCTAGTGCCGGTGCTGGAGAGTCTCCCTTGTTATCAGATGGTCTAGGAATGTACTCCTTCTCTCTTTCTTTCAATGTCGCTATAGGGTTAACATCATCGGCAGCACATTGATTGAGAAAAGCATTGATAGCGGACGTGAACTTGGTGTTCCTTTTCTCTATCAACTTCATCATCTGTTTCTGGCTATACACCGGCATTTTCAAGTCTTCCTCTCGAAGTTTCCGGAAAGGCTTAGTGGGCTCCCCTGTCTTCGAGTTTGTCACTTGTCGCTTCAAATCTCCATCAATGAACTCGAACAACAGGAGCTCCTTCTGTTTATCATATGCATCCCGTTCAGGCGCTCCCTCTTTGGAAAGCTCGAGTGGCCGAAATTCCTTTGCCCTACCACCCTTGATTCCATCCTCCTCTCCAAGCACTGCGACTTGCAAGCTGGATTCATCCACGTAGGCAAAGTTGATAGCTCGAGGCACAAGGGCCTTGATCCGGGCAACATCCGTGATCAATAATTCTCGCTTTATGTGACCTTCTACTGCTGTTTTGATGGTCTCAAATGTGGTGGCCAAGTGCTTGCGGGTGCAACAGAAAGTGTAGACAAGGTTCAGGGCGCGGTGCGCCTGAGCGAGCTTGGTCAGCTCGTCAGGCCAGAGGATAGAGGTCTCGACCACTGTCGAAGAATCCAGGCGCAATAGAGGAAGCTTTCCCTTGCCAGCATTTGTATCCTTGGACGCTCGCCTAGGTTTCTTGCCTCCATCATGTGTTTTGGTTGCGACTGTTGATGTAGGAATTGAAGGCAGAGCATCAAGGGGTTCAGCTTCTGCAACATCAGAAGGCGCCTTTCGCTTTTGCTTGCGGACAAGTTGATTCGAGACGGTGGCAGCTTGAAGTTTTGCCATGACAGAAGTCGCGCGACGCAGTTTAGGAGTTCCTTCTCTACTCGTAGCTTTGTGCACGTATTACGTAAGGCTGGCGGTTTTCTATACCGCGGCGTTTGCCTCAGTGCCTCACACGTGCCAAGATCTCTAAGCCCCTTCGGATTAGCGGCACTCAGCTAAGTCTCTTTGGGTTAGCTCGCCGACCTCGCGGAGGTTCCGCAGTAAAGTAAGCAGAAGGTGCTAGCCCGAAGGGCCCTGATAAGCGGAAGCCAATTCGGAAGAGCTTAGCGAACTTAGCACTCTGAAGGACTGAGGCAAATCGAGGCGCGTTTGTTCCACACATGTTGGTGGCATAACGTGACGCGATCTTGGTAGTGGACGAATCATGTCGGTTAATATCTCCAAATCAGAGCGAGTATAATCGGCGACGATGATTCTATGCATTTCTCGCTCCGACTGCTTTGCGAAGTGTCCCATCAACTATCTCGTCAATACCACTGGCGAGAAATCTACGTCCATCAAGGAGCTCATATACATAAAGTCCAGCTTCACAAAAGAATTCTAACCATCAATTCATACCAATGCACAGTGAATACACCCACGCGAATGCTCGTTTTTTTAAGAATTTAGTTCCTGTTATACCCCATGTTGTAGAAGCTCTCGCGGCTCTGATCGAGCATAGAATTGTCCGAACCCATGTCTTGATCTACATCCGGATCTGCTGCATGACCAGCCAGGCCTTGAGATGCTAGATCCTCAGCAGAAGGATTTGTTGAGTCGAGGAAAGGCGGTGTCCCAAACCCACTCGCCTGTCCCAGGCCGGCTTTGGGACTCTCGTGGAGGCTGAGTTGAGAAAAAATACCCTTAATGTTCCGCTGGTCTTCGCTCCGTGATTCGTCTTTGCCTTGCGGAAGACGATTTTCCATAAACGAACGAATACTGCGCACCACCGGTGGACATTGTTTCTCGTCCGGTAACCACCATTCACTGACCTCGGGTATGCCCCATAGTTCAGCCATTTGGTGGCGAAGTGTAGATGGGTATATATGGCTATGTGCAAAGTCAGCTCATGCTCAATGTACCATCTCATTGAGGGCGAGATCGGAAAGGTAAGGCAAAAGAACTTACCCCAAGCTTTCTACTTTGGCCAACTTCCGCCGACACCACATAATATGTTTTTCATCTTTCGGAATGACTAATATTGCAAGGCCAAGACTACCTTGCGCTTTCAGCATAGACCCGGGCGGGCTATCGGGCCAACATTCAATAGCTTCAAACAATCTGCATATATCCAAGGCTATTCTGGAAAGCTCTAGTGGGAGTGGTCGCTTAAGCATCGAAGCTGTCTTGTACCCGTGCATCAAGTTAATGGCATGCCAGTCGATAAGCATAAAGTTGAATGAAAACAGTGCGCCTTTGTAAAGGCCTCCGGGCAGGTAAGGATCGACAATGTCCTCTGGAGCTCGTGCTTTTCCTTCGAAAGATTCGACAAGATAGCTCGGGTCTCGAAAAATTGGGTCCAGGTTCTCCTTCCAGGTCCTGATCTGCTCAGCAAACTTATCGCTCTCTCTCTCGAAGGTCTCGATAGTGATGGCACCCCGAGGTAATTGGGCGAAGAGCAAAGCCAGGTCGACTGCCAAGAGTCGGTGCTTGGCAATGGTTGCTTCAATCTTGTAGTCTATGCTGTTTGGATAACTCAAAGACTGCTGGCGATAGTAATTTACTGTGGCAACAAACCATTCTCGGCCCAAAATGGTCTGGTAACCAGACATTAGCCCTCCCATCACGTCAAATCTTGAGTACCAAGCTAGAATCTTCCTGCGCACTTCCGTCTCCATAATCGAGTGAGATGAGTATAGTTCCAGAAGCATCCCATAGGCAGCTTTTTGATGGCCAAGTAAGCTGACCCAGTCGCCTAGGTAATCCTTTGCAGGTTGTCAGCTCTACTCGGGACGACAAAAGGTCCAACGCACCTCAAAGGTAGCAAGTTGTAAGATCGTCAACATGGTGGCCTCTGTGTGTTTCTGATTTTCGACCAGCGATTTTCGTAGCAACGAAACCGATTTGTTATAGTAACCCAGGAAATCTTGGATTTTACCATTCGGGCGTGTTACGGTCAACTGAAAAGCCGCAAAACCAACGACGGCATATAGTAGAGGGTCATACTGTAATGCATGCTTAACGAGAATGTTGTGCAGGAAATGATTGGCGTCGTGCTTGAAAAAGTAATGATGGTAATTCAGACGTGTCGTGTGATATTCTAAGTAGAATTGTAGGTCCTGAGACAGGTGTGACCAAGCTCTGTCTTCTTGAGAAAAGTCCGTCGATACAGACGAGGACTTCTCTGGATTTTCGAACCACCCAGCGGATACCGGAGCGCTCGAGGCCTCTGTTGATGGCGACAAGCTGCTCTCGTGTTTGACTTGCTCCACAGATTGTCGGGGTTGCTCAAGTAGGCTTGATATTTGAGATTGAGATGAGGCTTGCTTGGATTGGGATGCCTTGAGACGTGAAGCGCCGGACTTCTCAAGTTCGGGTTTCTTCCTGCGCCGTTCGATCGGAGTAGACTCTTTTGAAGAGTCATGGTCATCGGACGATGATCTGCTGTCGTCACCGGCTGTAGGAGCCTGGTCACGTTTGGAGCCGCTGGAGGGCTTTGGAGTTGAGCGAGGTTCAGGATAGGTGCATTCCCTTGAGCCCTTCTTACACCCTATAGGAAGCTTAACGTTAGCACCTCTCTCGGTACTGGAGTACGAAGGGTGAGACCGACGCTCGCACACAGGACGTATCTCATCACACTAAGCGATGGAAAGTGTTAGCGACCCTGGGCTTCGGCTTGTCCGAGGTGAATACCTTACCTTCACCCTTCGGCCTCGACAAGTATAGCAGCCATTCCTTGTTCTTCGATGCTTGACATGATCGTTACCTGACGGTCGACGCCTTCTCGGGGCAGGCTTCGATTCTTCCATTGGTTGAATCTCTGCTGAGTTGTGCCAACGACCAGCATTGGCAGAGTGAACGTCTGTTAGATCATTGGTGCCGATGGACGGAGAGGATAGGTCTAGGCTATTCGTTGTTGCATTCGATGTTTCTTGGAGCCTGGAAGGATAAAAGCCGCTCATGACAGGAGCGAAATCGGCAGTCTTGAAACCGGATCGCTTTGGTATAACCGGAGAATGCTGTGGCACTTTTGAATACTTCAATGTGAATTCGTGCATTCAGACAGGGAACAAAAGGCGTAATAACAGCAACAAAACGATGGACTATGCGCTGCAAAACTCGACGATGTAAAGACCCGATTAAGGCGTACTGGAAGAGGGTAGAGAGAGAGAAAGAAAGAAGGAAAGAAGGAAGGACAGAAAGAAAGGAAGGGATGTAGTTAGAAGGAAAGAAAGGAAGGTATATTGATATTATTGGCACAGTACGAGGAGTACTGGCTGATTGCTGCACCCACCTCTGGCTTTCTCTCTTTGGACCTCAATTCAATAACCTTTGATGATCGTCGTGTGAGCCTCCTTTGGTTATTCCTGTGCTCATGATCACCGCTCGCAGCTGTAATCTATCTATTATTTTTATCACAAGATCATCGTAAACCCTGGAAAAGAGACCGGAGGTCAGCAGTAATAATAATAATGCGCTTCGGCTTTTAAACAACTAAAGCAAGTGTACTTAAGCAAGTGTGTGTGCAAGTGCGATTTTCTCTCTCTTTCTTTCTGTCGCCAGCGCCAGATCTACCTTACCCATGAAACCGCCCAATAATAATCTAAAATGATCAACGGTTCAACCGTCGGCGGTCGAGGTGTAAAAGTGTTCCTTTTTTATTTTTATTTTTTTATTTTTTTAATACACTATAAAACTTCCTGGATTTTGAGAACATCCTAGCAGTCTAGTAGGTACGCCGTGGCGATACCCTGTCATAAAATCATGATTCTTGTGCCTAAGGTACCCTACCTCCCTACCTACCTTACTCAGTACTCATTAAAGTCATAAAGTAACTATATCGCTACTGCCTAAACGGAAGCTACGCCGCACATTAAAACAACCCTTGTATTTTCTCCCTAAAAAAAGGTACCACCTCTCTATAATTTAGTATACTCCGATTATTATCTATCTAGTACCTCTTGTTTTTCTTCGGCGGCAAGTGCATCATCCTTACTACCGATCTGACAAACATAGATACCGTTGGGTCGATCATCTCTCCCCGATGGGAATCTGAGGGCACCAAGCGGCGCCCCAACTGTCAAGCTCACGTGGATTCATGCCGATCAGGCACTGCTTCTTAGTCTAAATCGAACTCATCTTTCAAGGTTTCTCCCGCCAGAATTTGCCACCTTTGTATCCAAGATATCTTCATCTCGGCATGCTTCTGCATTCCTGGCCAGGTCTGAACCCCGGTAAGACCCGCATTGCTCACTCATGCTGATCCTTATGCTGGCTGGGACGGGACAAACCCGGTGGGCAAGACGTTGCGACCAAATGCTCTGCATCTTGATTTCTCTCTTGTACACCCTAGCCACCATGCCTGCTTCCCGGGCCTTCCGGCTCAAACTCCATCTGCAAGAGCGATGGCACCATCCAGGAGCAAACAAGTATCTAAGAGGCTAGCAACGAGCTGATAGAAGATTGGTGTGAGGGGGTCGCAAGAGGACACCATGAATTGTAGGACTGATCCGATTTCTGACCCGTCAAACCACATCTTATGAATAGATACCTCGCATTGGCACGAGGGCACAAAGTTGAAGGGGGTCTGCTAGCGCAAATACGACGACCCGTCGCCACATGTTGCAGACCTTGGAGACTTCTCTGGCCTTTGATGCACCATCCGACATTGTCACATCTATGGGACGTTGACCTACCGATGACAGCCTCTGGCTCCCAGCAGCAACAAGCAGTAGACCTTTGACCATTTTATGTGAAGATTAGAGCATCGTAACGGATGAGGCGACGTACCCACCTCCTAACCATTGTGCCAACGGTGAGCCCGCCACATCGTTGTTTTCGCTCGATAGAGGTCATGCTACTTTGACGAACTTTCACCATAAATTTTGACCCTCTGGAATGCCTCTTCTGCCCTTGCAAGGGCTTTCTGTCGCGCTTGTCCAGCTCTATGTTCCTCGTCCGAGGGAGTACTCCAGCTGACATTTCTCAACCGGGATGAACTTCCCACAGTCAGGTTTTCATCATCCCCGTTGCTACTTGAGCCGTAGTTTGAAGAGATGGTAGCAACTGAAAGATTCGCGATCCACAAATACATTCCAACACAAAGCTTCCAGAACCTAGCACTATCGGAATAGGGCGGAGATACGAGCAACCCATCAAGTCGGGTAGCGATCTCGTGAGCACTTTGCAGGGTGTCTCTCCTGACTTGCTCACGCATTCGGTAGCGATCAGGCTCCATATCTGATGCGGATGACCTTTGAACGTCGTCATTGGCTTCTGCATCGGTCTGGTCCATACCTTGGTCGGAGCCGCCAACAGCCATGAGCGCTATTGAACTCCGCTCTTTGATCGTGTATATCCAGAGACTGAACATGGCTATGGAGAAGTTTAGAGACCCTATGGCGTTGGGAAATGCTTTACGATAGGGATACTGAAGTACAACCCTCTCATAATACTCTTTGGCCTTCTCAAAATTTTCGGGTTTGACACTGAATTCGGACGTTGAACTCGAAAAATCAATTACGTTGTGGTCTAGGGTCTTCTGCGTCATTTGCGACTCACGGTGCATGAGGATCTCTGCCCCCACACCCCAACGATCATGCGTCCTAAGATCCATAGAACGACCGTTCTGTTCAGCTCGGAGAAGCATCGCCCACGCTCTGCTTGCGCGTATATAGTCGCCTTCCGAAAGACACCTGTGCAGGATTGCCGTAATGGTGTTAAGATGATGCTGTCGTGACCCCGTGCTGCTAGGAACTCTCTCTGCTGCGGCAGTAGGCACACTTCCCGTGGTAACATATAAAGGGGGCTTGAGTGTGGCGAGCTCATCGCTGATCCGTCCTTTAGACATCGAAGGCGCAGTCCCTGCGATGTGATGTGGGAAAGATTGAGGAAAACTACTTGCGTGTAGTCCTTGACGATCAGTGTGACTGGAAGGCTGAGAGTGGAGTGTCTTGTCGCTAGGCGATGTGTCCACATCTAGGGCGGCTGATGATATAGTGACAGAAGCGTTGGAGTATCCGGAGGGCAGGCTTGTTCCGTTAGCAGCGGAATCTGCTTCCAGTCCCTCGTCACCACCGTCACCACCATCACCGTCCAAAGGCTCAAGGTCCCTTTTCCGCTTCTTGGACAATTCGCGGGGAGAAAACGGAAGATCTGAAAGTGACAAGCTGGGCTTAAAAGCAGGCGAGAAGTACAGGATAGAAGACATCGCTGTTTCTTAGCTAGAGTGTGATGGACGAAGATGGATCATAGCATCAATCTATTCGAAGAGTACCATCTTTCATCTGCTGGTTCGTCCTTTGGTCCTCTCAAATTCAGTATGTGGTTATCTTAGAGGGTTCAGATTGTGGTAGGGTCAGCGATTTTGAAACCTTGAAACAGGAGACGGCATGTTCAACAAGCATCTGAAATTGAGTCGCATAATGTTCGTGGACAATACTAGAGCATGACCATGATGAGGAATTTAAAGATGCCTCATAGAAAAGCATCATCATATATAAGCAGAAATCCATAATGTGCTGAGTACGGGATGTGGGAGTGAAAGAAGGCTAGACTGCTGCGACCTAGCAGCGGCCAAGCCAAAACGAACAAGGATCATATGGTACTTACCCTTATGCAGCAGCAGCATCGGCAGCATCAGCAGCAGCAGGGTCACCTTAGTAAAATTAGACATAGAGTAGATGATATACCACTCTGTAGACATACTATAAACAGTTACTGACCGTCTTTCATCATTGAATACTTCGCAAGTGTATTCGACATGGAGCGCGATCCTAGGAAGCACCTCACTCACTCTGCTGTCCCCCATTACACCGCCCGCTGACTTCCAAACTTTCTTTCTATCTCGTGGCTCGAGCCATCCTCATCCAGCATTCACTTCTATTTCGCTTCTACACCCTGTGTTCGCAAACACTCTATAGTCACTCTACAGTCATAGACATATGGCTCATACTTGTCACCACGCAACGCAAGAACCGTTTGAATCCAATCCTGAAGCCTTTCCGACCCTTCTGTCTTACAACTACTCCGCTGGCTCCTTCTCGTGGCGTTTGCTATGAAGTAACCCAACTCCTGAAGCCTCATGCACTATTGTCTTTCCCGACTCGAAAGCTGATACCGCCCGCCATGGGTCAAAGTGCTTCGACTCAACGTGATCGGGAAGACTTCCTCCACCGCAATTCTCGACGCTTCTCTCAAATCGTCCAGGATAGAGAAACCAGAGATGGGCCATCTCCGAGACTATGGTCTTCTGGTCCGCGTACCACCGATCAGCCGATCCAAGGAACATCCACAACGCCCTCTCAGGTACAAGACTCTCAGTCCTCGCGGCCCATCGCAACGTTCAGCCGGCAGATATCCGCCCAATCAATACCGGCCTTAAGAGGAGGAGCAGGGAACAGCAGAGACATCTTAACCCGAGATGAGATATTCTATGAGCAGCACGAGCAGCGGCCCCTGGCTGACATGGGGGACCTGGGTATGCAGAGTACTCCAATCACGCACATTACCGCGTCTCCAATGCCAAGACGAACGAGCCGAATGGCCAGGTTAAGCTCAATGATTATGCCACGCTATGCTGCAAGCGAAATTCCAGGTGACGGCCAGGGAGAGGGTCGTTTCCTGAGACGGAGATTGTCGAATACTGATCCCTCAAATACTACGAACGACGCAAGAGATCACCCCACTCATCGCCTGTCATTATTTGGCTCCTTGACTCCGAGACCTTCCACTGGTTCAAGGCCAAGGCGGCCGAGAGAGCTTGCACCAATTTCTCGTCCCTTTCCTCTCAGCCCCGATGGGTCACTGC